TTCCGTATCTTCCGGAGGACGGTCCTATGGCCATCCAGGTTCGTGTTTTTTTATCTTCATTAAGGAGACTTTCAGCCCTGGGGTGGTTCGTCTCCGGTACGTGTTTATGCCATGACCCCGAATTCTTTCTTATATCGCAATTCCACATGCTTTCGAAAAAACCGTAGAACTCTAGGATCAGTTTCAAGGATTAACCATTTTTAAAGATGTACTAGATCTTGCGGAGGATGGTCCCATGGCCTTCTAGGTACATGTTTATGACACGAACGCAAATTAATTTATATATGACAGTTCCAAGTGATTTCGAAAAAACCGTGGAGCTCTAGGGTCAGTTTCATATAATGACCACTTTTACTGAATTTTCGGATCTTGCCGAGGACGGTCCGATGGCCATCTGGGTCCATGTTTATGTCACGATCCCAAATTAATTCTAATATCGCAGTTCCTAACGTTTTCACGAAAACCACGGAGCTCTCGGATCAGTTTCGTGAATTTTCCACTTTCACGGATGTTCCGGATCTTTCGGAGGACGGTCCCATACCCATCAAGGTCCATGTTTATGTCACGACCCCAAATTCATTCTATCATCTCAGTTCTTAGTGTTTTTTTTTCAAAAACTGCGGAGCTCTAGGATCAGTTTCATGGATTGATCACTTTTACGGATGTTCCGGATCTTCCGGAGGATGGTACTATAGAGATCCAGGTTCATGTTTATGTCACAAGCCCAAATTCTTTCTATCATCACAGTTCCTAATGTTTTCAAGAAAACAACGGAGCTCTAGGATCAGGATCGTGGATTTACTACTTTTACGGATGTTCCGAATCTTCCGGAGGACGGTCCCATGGCCCAAATTCATTCTTATATCACAGATCCTAATGTTAAAAAAAACACGGAGCTCTAGGATCAGTTTCATGGATTGTCCACTTTTACGGATGTTTCGGATCTTGCGGAGGACGGTCCCATGGCCATCCAGGTACATTTTATGTCACGACCCCAAATATTTGTTTATATCACAGTTCCTAATGTTTTCAAAAAAACCGCAGAACTCTAGGATCAGGACCATGGATTGACCATTTTTACGGATGTTCCGGATTTTTCGAGGACCGTTCCGTTGTCTCCAGGATCCATATATAGGAACCATGACTGTATTCTGGCTAATTGTGAACGTTTGTGCCCATTAATCTAAATTACAGATCTTGCGCCACTTTCAAAACCCTACAAACACACCTTTCAAAAAAACGTGTAACAACTCTTTTCGCTTTTTAAAAAAGTAGACGGCTCTATTTTCAAGTTTTTTGCAATCAAAATCATCTAGAAACCCTAGGAATTCTAAAGGCACCACAATTTTTGAAATTCATTAAGAAATGGCTAAGTTGTGCCATTGCAAACTTGCCGTTACACGTTTTTCGGAGGCTTCGTAGTCGGCGTAAAGTTTTTGACCCACCGTATTCGGAGTGTTAATAAGCATTCATTGTAATTGAATATAATAAATAAATTGCATCGACTGTAAAATTCTCACGATGTTTGCTTTTTTTTGCAATAGATTTTTTTTTATATAAGCGCATAGTAATCTGTATCGGCGTCCAAAAATTTCTTTATGCATTTCCCTGGTCAGCTTTTATCAGGGGAGAACATGTAGATTGCAATTTGTACGCCCACTAAGTTTTGATTAGAAAAAAAAATCAGTTTGGAGTAATTACGAGTAACCTGGTGCAAAGGGTAATTTTTAGTGGGTAACAAGTTCCAAAATTTGTATGTATGACATCACCGTTCCCGCTATACACGCTTTCGTTGTATTCAGGCCTTAAAATAACTAAGTAGCGTGTCACACACGAACGAGCATCGAATTCGCGTTTACTTACCCGATTAGGCCTTGGCAAACTAAACATCCGCCTAGCATAATAAAAGGCGCCATCCATCACTGCACCATATTCACGTACTCCCCCCACTCTTATTCACCAGCCAACAGTAGTGCTCGCGTGTCGCGTGTTGAAGTGTGATAGGCGCACTGGAGCAGTAAAACCACTTTCGTTGTTTGTTTTTGTGACATTCACCTCTCTCAATTTCAGTTTTTATTTCGCTTATCTCGTGTTTTACATTTCTTCCATCTGACAGGTTTTAATAGCTCGTTTTTTTCACGATGCACTTCTTGCCACTCCATATATTTGTTTTGTTCCATTTGTTTTCGTCTAATCTACTTTTAGCTTTTTGATCTGATCCTAGTAGGTTTACTTGAAGATGTTTTGGATTGATTATCGATCGATTTTGTTTTTTGTATTTTTTTTTTCCATGCTAAAGATTTTGGTTGCTGTTGTTTTCGCTTACTCTCGCCAGCACATTTACTACGCCAAAGCAACTTCAATATCACGCGTGCGATGCCTGCCTGCTAGCTGCTTGCTTTCTCCTTTCGCTTTAAATACAAATATAGCTTTATTCTTTCTTGCGAATATGCACCTTTGTTTGCCACTGTGGTTGCGATTTGTTTTTGTTTTTTTGTTTTGTTCGGATTTGTCAATGGGTATCGAAAGATAGTTTCACTATTATTATTTGTGGATTGTTCTATTCGGGTGCTACTTTCATTTTTTTTTATAGTATCGGCTGTAATATGGTGGATGCAGTTTGTGTTTTGTTTGTAGTTGCTTCTATATTTGTTTCGATTGTTCGATTTAGTTTTACTCTGTGTCTTGTTTCAATATCAACTGGAGAAAAAGTTATTTTGGTAGCTGAAAAAATTCAATGCAATAATTTGTAATTTAATTTCTTTAGCTCATATTAAGCTTTATAGTTTCACACAATGACAGTTTAATTTTTTTAATGTTTCATATGCAATATTTTCTGAATCATACGATAGGCAATTTCCACACCAAGAGTTGACATCGAAAAATACTAAGTTTTTGAGTACCTCGTAGCCTTGCAGTGTTTGTTTTCTTTATTCGCTGGCAGGGACTTTGTGAAACATTGTTGATTTGTTTTTTTCTTCTGAGAATAAATTGTGGAACACATATAGAATGAAACGTAGATCACCATTTTTGGTATGCTGTCGGTATTGTGAAGGGCAAGAATTTTCTTTGAAACGAGTATTTTCTTTATGTGTGTGTGTTTAGTCTTAACCTAGCATTTTTTCTGCTTTTGTTTTTAACATTAGGATAGTGTTCAATATTCGTAAATAGCATTTTCTGTCGTTTTTTTATACAATGAATACTTTGCTTAAGAGCTAAATATATAATTTGAATATGTCTTTCATCATCACTTGTTTAGCTTAGTAAATGTATTAATCGAACGTAAGGGAATGCTCAAAAAACGATTCTGTTATCTTTTCATATATATATTTTTTTTAATGGTTCTTACAACATCAATATACTTTTGTAAGGTGCTGATAAGATTTACATGGAAACAGTGAAGGCAAATTGTGTTATGAAGAGGAAATATCCCTCTCGCAGTTGAACAGCAATTGATATTTGGATATGTATCGTGGACCTGGTTTGAATCAGTTTTCTACCGCTTTACATCGAGATTTTCTATAGGTTTTCTCCTAATCTTGTTGGTTTTAGGTTTTTCCTTGATTGCAAGTGTACACACTGTATGGATGTGAATCTTACATGCTAATGATATGGATAATGATACGTTGAGTTACATACATCATACAGATGTGCGTGTATATAATTACTCACATACGTCGATAAGGTGCAGTACATCAATGGAATCCATGTTTGATATGTTTTCCGTTTCAACGATTCGACTCCATAATCCCAGGAAGTTGGCAAGATATCTTGCCACTGAACTTCATACAAAGTATCCGGAGATGAATGCTTCATAAGGGCCTCGAGCATCACCATCCTATTCGACTGAGAGTTCATTTAGGTTCCCGTTTCATTTAGGAAAGAGCTGTCTATAATCTGTACAGTGTACACTTTTTGCACCTATTTTGCATCTCACTCATGTACGTGAGATAAAATATACATGATATGCTTTTATCATCACTTGCCCGGCGATGGCTTCCGGGTAAAAATTTCAACAAAGTGCTCCTCTGATACGTATATCGATCCCGTCGAGCTTCACATATACGCCTGCCATCGGCAACCATTACTATCATTCTGAAAAAATGGAAACCGCATTTTGAATCGTTTCTGGAGAGATGGAATTTTCCCGTTCTCTTGCACGCTAGTTGTCGATTATAACAGTTAACCTTCACAGTCGGTTACGTGCGGGATTCGACTCACGGTGCCTTTGTTCTCACGTTCACGGAAGAAGCATCACAATCAAATGTCCAAGGATTTCAACCAAACACCCACCCACCCAAAGTTCCATTTCCTTGCAGAGCATATGGGCAAGTTGAAAAGATCACACTCAACAACCCACGCTCGGCACTTTCAACTGTATTGTATTTGCAACCGGCTTGTAGAAAGGGATAAGTTTGCGCAAAAAAGAGGAAGAAAAGCTTTCACCACAAATTTGTAGGCGAGCTTTATGCCTCGTTTCCAGCGCGATGATGATGGCATCAGATGGGCAGAATGTACGGAGTATTTTTTTTTCATATCTCGTTTCGTGCCACTTTGAGTAAAATCCATTCATTTTGGAATACGTTGGGCTCAGATTGAGTTTCCTGTACGATGGAGTTGGGATGAGAGATTTAATATGATTTCATTACTAGAATGTGATCTAGAAAAGCGCGGTATTATATTTGCCTATGTTGAAAGAGTTACGGTAAAGGAATCATTAAAATTCAGAACATTTTCTTCAAGCACACAATTTCGTGATAACCTCCATCTAGATTCAAACCCTCGGCTTTAGATTTCTGAAGGCCCCTGCTGTTATTTTTAAAGGGAAAAATTACAACAACTTGGAAGATGTTTTCATGCGGGTTGTAGTTATATCAGAGGGAGTAGATGTTACAATAAGTACATACTTAATCGCGCATTCCCTGTTCAGTATTTTTTACAGTTTAAAATTGCAAATCACATTATGTACCGGGAAATCAACTCTTCTACACGTCTCTGTTACTCTGAGTACAAAATTACCATAATTCAGTAGCATAAAAGTATCGATTTCTCAGTATGTATTTTTGTTAACTGAACTGGCATGAATATAAAATGAACAATCGTTGCCCATATCAGTAAATCGGAGTTCACCAGTTCCAGATTTGAATATTATTTTTCCATTCAACATGATTTGAATGGAAAATTGAATACAGTGCTCATATTTATTCTACAACTGATTAATAATTTCTGGCATAATTATTAAACAAAAACTCTACCATGAAGCTCTGGATTTTTGGGAAAAAAATTAGACTATACGAACAAAGGTTTTGAAAACGTACTTTTCATTTTCTTCATTTATCCTTTATGTAACGTCAGTATCTGATCTGCAATCAAGCTCCAATAAACAACGAGCGGCGATTGCCAATTTACGATTAATTAATTGGGGGCGACCCCGGCGTAGTGGTTAACATCCATACCTTTCACGCCAAAGTCACGAGTTCAAATCTCACCCCCGGACAAGTCACGAATGACCCAAGTAACACTCTTGGGCTGTAATTTAAACAAGATTAATTAAGGCTTAGACACCACACGTGACCAGAGATTTTTTTTCACATCATAAAAATCCCAACGAACTCGGCTGAGATTGAACCCAGACACACTGGGATGAGAAAGTAGTAATGCTTTCTACTCATTACTCGATTACTTTTTCGAAGAGACGTATCAGCTTTTGTGAACAATGCATTTGATCGTCGATTTGGCTCGCTTGGTAGCTCGCCCTTACATGCTAACACTACCATCAGATAAGTTAAATTTTCCCCTACCTGACAGGAGTGCTAGTATGCGTGGGTGAGCTACCAGCTACGCGAAATCGACGATCAAATGCATTGTTTACAAAAGCTTATACGTCCCTTTGAAAAAGTAATCGATATATAACATAAACTAATGTTTGGTCAAATTAATCCTATCGAAATCTTCTCAAAGCTGAACACGCGAAAGAAGTATAACAGCCATAGTAGTGTGCTCAATGTCAATCCTCTTAGTGGCATCGACGAACAAATCCAGGAAATCATTTAAATTTTCAAAAAGACTCACTACTGCAGTCTTTCGTTACATTGTTGCACTTCTATATAATTAGATTTGATATTTTTCAATGTTCCTATACTTTCTAACACCGTAAACCAATTCACGCGCACAGTCAGAGTACGGCTTCTGGGTTTGTAACATTGTAACACTCCAGAGCCCAATTGTGAAATTAAGAGTTCAAAATAAAGGTGCAAAATTTGTCAAAAGGTAATAATCAATCGTATCAAGGCATTTTCAACAGTGTTCACTCGGCTGTCGACAAAAGCAGGCCACTCTCGATGTGTGCTACGCGATCGTCTGTTTTCTCGGCAGCAACCATTGTGTGGTCCTCCTCATTGTTCTTCATCAGCAGTTCTTTCGGTCGATGCGTCGTCGACTTTGGAAAGCAACGTTTTCGTGATGAGTGTGTGAGTGCTGACCACGTTTTGCGTCCATTGCTGCAATGGACGCGCTCTGACCCTCGTTGGCGTACAACAATTTGCCATACAATGAAACCACTGGAAGCGGCTCCAGTTCTGAAGGAGGAGGCTTTTTGGATAGCGGAAGATAAAGTGTTTATTGTGTTGTACCTTTTGACTATAGTTTTAAGATGTATTGTATAGTGACCTAGAATCCTCGGCTCTGTAAAGTTAATTCGGTTGAGCCTTATCAAATAAATTAATGAACAAAAAAAAAAAGGCATTTTCAACAAAAATTGAAAATCCCCATTTTGGCGGTGCCAGTGATTCGACCCCAACCAATAAAAGTGAGAATCCTATACTTGACATGAGGGGAAATTTTCAAGATGACAGATCTGATGGAGCTGTTTCCTAAAAAAAAAAAAACATCAAGATTCCCGCATAGGAAAATTGCTCCTATTGTTCCGAGTTGATCTGTAAGTTGATCATCATGTTGAAAGTGACATGTCAAACAACCGATAAGCATTAGTTGGTGTTTCTTTATCTGCTTTTTAAAGAATGCTATTAGTTTCTAATTAACCAGCAATTTTCTCAAATTTACTGGTTTTGTCGTCGATTAATGCAAATCAATTATTTAAAACCTAGCTAACAAATTAATGTATTGAGAAAACTGGAACTTTCTTACAGTTCAGAGCATCATCCATCAATTATTGGAACACCCCAGCAAACAATTTTAGCTGAAGAACGGCTTATATAGACAACAATTAGCTGCATAAGCGTGTGTTTGCCACTTTAAGCTGCTCTGCAGCTAAAATTGAATGCTGATATATGATTAATTATAATCCTTATGTGTTAAATGATATCGCGGAGAGTTTATCGGCTTTGGCTGATGGGCAATATTTAATCGTTTAATTGCTTGATGACTGCAAGGCCGATAAACTCCCGATGATAAAGTTCCTCTTTTGGTAGCATCCAGTGAAATGGAAACTGAAAAAAAAGTTCACCTAAATCAAATGATTGATACTTTTTCAACGAACTTCCTCAGAAAATCTCGAATGAATTGAATCTCCAGCGGTGCACTGCAATTATTGATTGTTACCGCTGTGTGAGTTTAGCTTTCCTCAAGTTCCTGCAAATCAAAGTTGTGTTTGAGTTCCAATGTCTTTTTCAAAATAAGCAACAAGTAAACTAGTCCATACTTTTAAGAAATAGCCCTGAATGATCTACGTAACATACTGCACAATTTAAAAGATCTGTAAACATTCTCTAATCGAAGGCATGATCCGAGAACCATGCATAATTTAATGGTCCGATCAGTTTCCTCATCCCGCAGGGTTTGTGGATGTGGTGTGTATTTTAACACTAGAAGTACGCAATATTCCAAACCCCGAACCTAAATCATTCAACTTCATACACATCAGGTTCAAACGAGGCTCCACATTTGAAAGGCTGCTTCAAATAATCAACCCTGCATATATTAGCTTCGTATACGTCATGCACGGACGTTCTAATATATTATCAGACGATGTACAGAAAGAATGCCGTTTACAGAAAGAATGCAGCATTTTGACCAATTTCAAAGACACTAAAAGCAAATGCTAATAAATTTAATTAAAATTTTTCAGCAAGTCCCAATACTTATTCGAATTGAATATGATTTGTTTTGAGTGTTGCCAAGCTAGGATGCTCATGGTGTGAATTCACCAAAATGCATAACTATAGGCGAACTTGCTCCAAACCAACTGCGTTGCTATTCGAAGATAGGGCGTCTCCATGTGCACGGATGGATGAGGTGCTGGTGAAGAGTATCCCTGCGGTTAAGGTCGAAACGTTGTCTATAGTCGAAATGACTATGTGTGACCTGAAGAACACGAGCTGCATCGACGATGAGTATTGAGGATCTAGGGTTAAACGGCAGATCTGTCGTTGTTTGTCAAAGAAGTTTCATCACCACTGTCATGAGAGAAGGACCACATTCTATGTATTTATTCACATAAATTTTGAACACGACTTCGCCGAGGATTCGAATGCAAGATTCTACTGGTGCAAAAGTTGGTGCACATGACCGGAAACAGTATCATGTTGCTAGGCGCGTTTTACTACAATCAATGCTACTCGTGTTGATTCGAGAAATTCACATCATAGATTGATCACCTGCGTACTTGATTAATTTGGCAAGGCATTTTTGACCAGCACCTTCCGGTCGTATGAAACAAGTCCAAATTTGTCAAAATCCACCTGGATTTTTGTTTGCTTAAGCACTGTTTATGGCAAAAAAGTGATTTTTTCATGAGCATTAACTTCAAATAACTTACCAACACTAGTGGACCGTGAGTATTTGACCACCTATATATACCATCATCTTGGTCAAGCTGTATGATATGGTTTTACAGTTCTGTACAATTCATGTACAAAATTTTGTATTTTACACGCAGAGCTGCTAATGACGTTACAAGGTTTGTAATTGCCGAATGCCTCGGTAGATCAGTGAGAAGAACGTTGACATCAAACAAGCTCGTAAGCTGCAGGGTTTTTTGGACAACATTCATATGCTAGTTTCCTGGTGACTTCGGTTTATAAAATATTGCAGAATTTAATCAACAACGAAGGATTTCCGCAGGACAGTACGATACTTGGGACGATCAGCTTGGGTCATGAGTGGTTCAAAAGGATTTCATGGAGCCCAAGATGGATCATTTGGTAGGTGTTGGTAGTGCTAAAATAAATCTACCACTTAATATTTCAAAGTGAGATCCATGTAGCACAGTGGGGCAGCGAATCCAATAGCCAAAAACTCTAGAGTGCCTTAAAAATGCTTGATAGAGATTTGCGATTTTCGAAAAAGTAGCTCAATTAGTTCGCATTCCCGCTGTATCGGTGGCGCTTGATTTTTTGTTTTAATTTAAGTATCCTAGGAAGATGGTTTCTGCAAGTTGTGCATTTCATAAAACTGAGAAACAATGACGAGAACATTTAAAAAATGTCACTCACTGAATGCCTGACGCACCAAAACTTGCTGCAAAAAAGGTGATTTCACAAATTTTTACGTAGGGTAGATCCAAAATTTATACTGCAGTTACACTATTTTTTTTTCCCACCACAACACTTCGCTGATTGTATTTAAAATATTCCTTAGACTTTCAGCTTCAGTTAAGGTTTTTTTGGCTGAGCAAGCGCATTTTTACAGTTTTTTCTTGAAATGAAACACACACACTACAAAATGCTGCTAATTTCGAATTGCCAATAGAAAAACAGCAGATTAACAAACAGATCAAATGGAAAGGTTGCCGAAAAAAAGGAGGTTGAAGACAACAGTCATGCCCACCTAAGAATTTCGGAGCGTTGTTAAAGTGTTTTTAAACAGTGTTGGACAATTCTAACGACTGGAATGAATAAAGCAGTAGGCAGCAGCTGAATGTAAACAACCAAACACGGCAACTGTGCTGGTTACATGGAGAAAAAACTCATAGACTTCTATGGACGCTGCTTAGATTGCCGAGAATACGTAAAATCCCCTATATTGGTCAGAAATTTATGGTTTTTTCGAACACTGAAAAAAGTTTCTGTATAGTTTCTATTAGAAACGCACGTAATATTTTTCGAATACCAAAATTAATGATTTTTATATGAATATCACATAACATAAACATTCTATGTTAGTAATCATCTAGATTTCATTAGACACATAAGGTGGTGCAATTTCCAATGATGAAATTGCATGAAAGTTATGTGAAGTTCACATGGATACTTTACGCTGGTTGAACATGTAAGGAAAGTATGATTATTTATGGAGATCCCTGATCACCTGATGGTCTTTGGAATAATTTCTGAGCAACCTTGTAGTGTGGGTGAACATCTAAGAGGTGATTTAAATTGTTGACCAGTTGAAGATCTTCAGAATTATACTAAATCAACCTGAGGACATGAGAACATCCTGAGAAGATTTTTGAGATCTGTGATCACCTGAAGGTCTTTGGAATATTTTCTGAGTCAGTCTGAGGTATCATGAGGGAATATCTGAATATATGGTTTGAATTTTTGGATAGTTTGAGATTCTGAAAATCAACCTGAAGTCTTGAAAACGTAACCAGAGGTCTTTATAGACATCTTAAACACATGAAACAATCAAAATTGATTAATGAGGGTTTTAGTAGGATAATTGTATACCTTATAATATTGTTTTTCCTTTAAATTTTACTACTGTTGTATCACTTTCACTTTCACTAGTTCACTTTCACTATCACTTTGAAAAAATAGACTCAGCCTATAACTAGACACTGAAGAAGTTTTCAAGTAGTAAACGGGATACGTATATGTTATAGTCTTTTTTAAGTGATAGTGAAAGTGAATTAGTGAAAGTGAAAGTGATACAACAGTAGTAGAATTAAAAGAGAAAAACAACGTAATAAGGAATACATGGAAAAATTTCTGAGCTGCCTGGGAGGATATTTGAGAGATCTAAGAACTCCTGAAGATCTTTCGTATAATTTCTGAGCAGAATATCTTCTTGATGTAAAAGACGCAAGCGCTTTCCTTAAATTCTGTAAGGAACCATAGATTTCCATGAAGTTCTATAATATTCTATCAAATTATTTAAACTACGATGATGATCTTTTATGAAATACCTCTCACTGCTGCTCAATCTCATGATATGAATTCACCATGAAGCATAACTTTAGGCGCACTTGCACCAAACCGATGACGGTGCTGGTGGGAGATGGTGCGTCTCCATATTGGACCCAATAAAGGACGAATTGCTGCAAGATTAAAATAACCGTAAGCCGGGGCAAATCGATCACTGTTTAACGTAAATATCGATATAACTTTCAACCTGAAACCACTAGCTATGAGGACTTTATCGTTCTGCATAGTTACTTGGCTGTTGTGTTTATTTTTAGGAAAATGTTGACATCTCATATATGCATATGTCGATTTGGGATGAAATTGATCAACCCTTCAAATCGCTACCTGGTACATTTCTAGTTAATGCGGTTCATGAATTTGGGTTCCCTGATTCCGAATAAAACGTCAGAAGTGTATTGTAAGCAAAATCTTCCAAAATAGATTCCTTGAAATACACAGCAATTGCTTTCAAAATGTTAAGTAATTTGACGAAAATCCTCTTATTTCTTGGCTAATAAATCTTGTTCTATACCTCGATATCGCCATATCTCGATGGTCCCTTTAATATCAATATATGTAGAGTTGCTAAATCTGTTCGAAATATTGTTAAAAGTTGAGTTTGACCAAACTTATAACCGGCCAAATTAGTATTAATGTCAATCGAAATCTTTCAGAAAAAAATGTTTCTAGGTGAAAAATAGGAAAACCAGACACGACCGGTACATTCCAATACCTGCCCGTAGTTTATCCCTAAAACCTCACCTACAAAAAAAGGAGCGATTATGTCTGCTCATCATACCGGTTTGCTGCTAAAAAAACAGCATTCCGGAAGTCATCAATCAACCTTCCACCAGACAGCGTATGTTAATCGTCTTTCACAACCCAACTTTAAGCTACAGCTGAAGCCTTTCCATCTTAAAGGTCCGGGGAAGGAGCTCCACCCGCAGCTAATGGTTTTATGTGCATCACTTCTTCTTCTTTTTCTTCGCATTTCAAGCTTATTTGCTTATTGCGTGCTCTCAACTTAGTGTTCCAAATGCACTTCCACAGTTATTAATTGAGAGCCAATTACCAATGCATGAATTTGTATATTGTGTGGCAAGCACAATGATACTCTATGCCCAGGGAAGTCGAGAAAACTTCCAACCCGAAAGATTCCCTCGACCGGACCGGGAGTCGAACCCGCCGCCTCTGGTTTGGTAATACCGTACCTTTACTGACTAGGCTATGAGGCCCCGCATCCCAGCACCATCATTAATTTTCCGTCCTTTTTCCAACCCGATAAAAGGCACACTCAAATCAACCAAAGCGAAAACTTTCCACCAACTCATCATCATTCCGGCCTAGTTTGGTCATCTGACTTGGCGGCCTGCAGCACGTGCTGCGGTATGATATCATTTTACACCATTTCAATTTTCATCGCCAACAATATTGCAACTTTCGGTTCTCCCAGTCCATCCCATCGGAGCCCGGGATCATTTCTGAGAAATCCACCCTGAGACCGTGACATAGTTTAGTTCCTTTTTTTTTATTTTTTTCGGGGTGGATGTGACATTTTTGTGAGTGCTTTAAAATTGAACCATTTGATTGCTCTCGCTTCCACGTGATGTAATATTCCATCTCTCCCTCTATTTCGTTCTTTCTGTTGCTCTCTATTGATCGAATCAGAATGTGATATTATTTTGCTTGGTTATAGAAAATGCTCCTCTTCTTTTTTCTCTTACTCTCGTGAGGGTGCAGGATATGTGTAAATGTATATCAAAAATGTTGCGACTTGATTGTTATTCTCTGACAATTCTGTGTGCTTACCCAATATCTTATGAGAGACCACCTTAATCCTACGGTCAAAACTGAAGGGGTTTTTTTTTCTTTTTTAGTGATATCTATGTGACTTTTGTTTTTCTTCTTTTCAATAGACACTGATCGAGACAAAAATATGAAGATATGCTCACACCTTTCTTGGTTTTTTTGATATGTCTTGGTGGTTCCCACTTATGGTTGGGACAGTTCGGGTACAAGTGATATGTTTCTTCTGATTTTAGAGAAGGTGGGTTCCACGGTGCTCATGCAAAAGGATATGTTTCTTTTCGAATCAGTTTTTTTGTTTGCATTATTTATATTGGTAGGTGTATATATATAGAGATATGTATGTTTAATGTGTGAACGGTAAAATTACCTCACGGATTTAAATTGTATATATAGCAATATCATCTTAAACGGTAAACATCTGGTTAAATATTAATTTGCTTCAAACTAACGTGAAGAACTTCCTCAGTTTTATAATAACGTCTGTTTATGTGGCATTAATCGTCTATCTGAATTCCCAGCTGCAACCAGCTAGGACCCTGGTCCCTGACACTTAGACGAAGGGTCCACGCTGGTTTACCTGTTGGAATTCGTACGTGACGTGCTCATGTCTATAAATATGCTAATCCTTTCGGTTTCCCGAATTAGTTGCCTTAGTTTTTTTTTTCAAAGCTTATATTATAGGTTTTGTATTCTTTTTTTCATTCTCCGTTTAGTATGGAACATAAACAAGTCCACAGTTGTTGCAGTACACATATTAAAAGAACATAGTTTCTATAGGAATTCCATTTAATGTTTATCATCATTAATTTCATTAACTTGATTTCAGAAAGCTACACTAGCACAACATAGTTTTTTTTTAATGCACTCTGCTTTTGCGGTTGTAATCCTAGTCCTAGAGAGTTATACAATGCTTTCGAGTAGCAATTTTCAACTTTCACAACTTGAGTCTCAACTTTCTCCTAGCGTAATGGGTTTTGCTACAAGGGGGAAAGTGTTTTACTGAGTCGAAAAACATTGGTACATACTCTGATTTGCTCGGGTTCGGTTCGTCCACCTTTTGACGGATGGAGGGTGCGCAGTTTTGGTTGGTCTGCGTCGTTGGATGGGACCAATTAACTCGCTTGTTCGCCTTTTTGATATGCACGCTAATTGCCAATATACAGTTTTATAGCCTTATAACGCAAATCGTTGGGATCACTGGTGGTTACCTGGATAGGAGTTCTATTCCGCGTTTGTTTAGTTTTAAGTTCCAATCAGTGTTTGTGTGAAGAAATCATCAGAAGAACTCATCACGACTCTTTTATGGAACTGCTCGCAAACAGATTTTTTTATAGTTAATGTAGAATTGTTTTTAAAGGTAATCGGCTCCGTAAAGCTTCATTAAGAAAGTTAAGCATTTCCACATAAACGAATTGAAAAAAATACTCTGCACGGAGACTCGAAACTGATAGCAGTTGAACGAAGCAGGTGGGGAACTGATAGAATGTGAAAAACTATGCCTGCCGAGTGCAAACCCAATCGTTGATTCGCTGCGCCGTATTGGATTCTATCGTGGAGTTAGATTTAGTTTAGTTGTGTGGCACTTTTCAAGTTTATCAACTTCAAAGTAATACTTTTTTCAATACCAATATCAATGTGGAAAGTTATGCTTCGAACTAGAAAGCAAAGGATTAATTCTTTCTACAAGACACTCACTCAGCAGTTGGAAACAAGTGCACTCGAAAGCAACTCAACGTGCGAGCGTGTAAAATGAGGTGGTTTTTCACATGCTTGTTGTTTACTACAAATCAAATTAATACTAATGTGGTGAACTTTTGCACGACTTCTCTATTGAAATTTCAGCATACGTTAAGAATATTTAAATGTGATTAAAAGATCAAACGACTGTACTTGTTAAAATCACCTAGCGATACGACCTTCGTACCTCAGCGTACTTGACCGGAGCGGGATTGGCATAAGATAAGAAACTAGTACTTGCCTCTTTCTCTTTCCAATCAAAATCCCGCCCGCGCGTGTGACAATATCACTCAGGATATCTTTTATTGTCAAAACATCCGTTCCCATTAGGAAAATAATACCATTCTATAGCTGAGCATAGAAACGGCAACTCAATTGATCTACTCAGTTGATTTCAACTGGCTTGAAAAGTTGAGCCCGGTTCAACTTTTTTACAATTCAAGTCAATTGAACATCTCACTTGAACGGCATTTCACATTCAATACGCATTCAAGTCTCTTGCCTCATCTAAACTTAGCTTAAGAAGGACTGTATGACAATATTTTCGAACCGATCAGCTAGCAACCGATCATAGAAAACAAATGCAGCTCTTCGTTATTGATAACGCCGAACAGGCATTGAGTTGCAAAAATTGGCTTACAAATATCAAATTAGGATATCAGGTTGAAGTAATGCGGTTCATTTTCCAACATAAAAAAATTTCACTAGTAGTAATCAAATTTCTGGCCATTAAGATGTAATCACTGAGTTCCACTGGGTAAATGAAATAAAATGAATATTTTGTCATGGCCAGAAGTTTGAATGCTGACGAAAAAACTGCTTCTACGATTTTGACGAAAAATCAGCATATCCTTGCACTTTGAAAGCTTCTTAAACGCCTGAAAAGCGTCAAAATAGTCACAAAAGGCCGAAATGACCACCTTAATGATCAATTTACCTTTAATATAAAGTAAATATTCACAAAACCACTGTAAAATTTAGGAGCTTTTAGAGTTAGCTTGGGGTTTTTATTCTACAATTAATTCCCCAAACTATTTTAAACAAATGTGAATTGACTTTGAATGGATATAGTATCGTTAAAATGTTGATCGACAAAATATAACATAGAACAAAAAAATTATACACATTTTCGCCTTCCTTTTTCTCACTTACGAGAGAGTGAAGCTTTGCTAAAGGAAGATGCATAAATGACGTCAAATTTGAGAGTGACCAGTCAAGTGAAAAATACACTTCAAGGGAAGGGGGCCAAACGTTTGGGCTTCATGAAACGTAAACAAACGTTAACCTCCCCCTTGTAGCGTACGTTTCTAAATGGCTGGTCAGTCTAAAATGCTACGTCTGTTATAGATCTTCCCTAACAAGCAATACAAGCTGTCAACTCTCACGTTCTCCTGTTGATTTCTGTTGATTCTTCGGTGGTGCCCATGGAGGTTCAACACAGTGACAAACAGAGATTATCTATAGCGTTTGAGAATCATGAAGGCCTAACTGCGATGATCGATTCTCTTAATCGAATTTCTCTTTGAACTACTACAATTAAGTGGATAAATTTCACGAAATTTTTCCAGTACAGTGCTAGCAAATCAAACAGCAATCGCACTGAGACATTTAGATCCTGCCAAGTTATTAATATAATCGAAAACCGATTAGAATGCCCGATTGCTAATAGTTGCTACATTCTTGAGCTGCTGAAAGCGTTTTGATTTATTAGCATAGTGTCTAACACATAGCATGCCGCTTCAACCAAGCAACCACTAGCGCCTTATCCTTTTTATGGCTATAAACGGCTTATAATTGCCAACTGGGCCTGATTTGAAGTAAGATGGACCGAAAGCTATTGATAGATCTCAAGACTGAAGAGCCAATATATAATCTCAAATATACACGGCTTATTTACGGCTATACCAATGCTTGTAAGTTCTGATATAACAAATATTAGCCAGAAAGTGACACTTATTTGAATGATTGGTAGATCCGTCTGTTTTCTCTGGAAAAAAATCTACCATAAACAACCGCACAGTCGAGCAAGAAACTGTTGTTTGAACTAGCTGAACTAAACAGTCAAACCACTCGTGAAAATGACAAACAAATGTCGGACATATCCAATATAAATCTGTAACCTATTTTCGTTCTTGAAATTAAAAACCCGTCCAACGACATTGAACCACTGATAGGGATCATCAACTGGCCAAGGCTATTAACTGTCAATAGCAATTAACCTTCAGAGCGCCAACGGCAACCAATGAATGCTGCTTCATATCGAATTTCTACTGCAGAAATTAAACTCGTTCCAGAACAACACTCGACGCACCAGTCCCTGCAGAGTCACACCTCCACCTGTTCCAGTTTCAGCGCATGAACCGTACTTCCGAAATCTGAAAAGCACATTGTTTCAGTGCATTTTACTTCGTTGAAAGACTTTTTGGTAATGTGATGCTTCATCTTGCCTCTTGGGTAGTGTTGACTTATAATTTCAAACCTCTCTTGATCAACCTCGTTCGGAGAGTTCTCAGTCGTACGTGAGACTTGTTTTCCGACTTTGTCTTATTTCTGATTTAGCCCTGCTAATGCTAATACCTACATCTGTCCTTACATTATATTAATTAAACTAACTCTGCGTGCATTTCTGTAAAGTTCTGCCAAATACCGTTCACCCTCACTCTTTTCCTCGTTCCAGTCTCCAAACTCCCACAGAAACGCCCAGAAACGAAAACGCCAACACAAAACAAACAAAAAGTCATACGGAAAAAAATAAAGCAACATTTGTATTTTCCGCCTCGCTGTCGCCTTGTTGTTTTCGGTTTCTTTTGTCTCATTCAGCATCCTTCCTGCGCCTCCCTTCCATCCTCCACCTACTGCTCCACATCCATCAAGTAAATCACGTACACTTACCTCCTATGCGTCGAGAATCCGGATCCGGTTCTCCTCCTAGTAGTAGTAGTAGGTAGTAGTATTAGTAATAGCGATGGTAATCTCGACAAACCACCCACGCCAGCATCGGCAGCAGTCCGGTCGTGGTCACGGATGCCACCAACCCGGTAGCACCGCTACCACTCAGCAGCGACGTTTCGAACTTCTTCCCGACGCAGTTCATCCGCTCCAGTGGCATATTTTGCACGTAGTACTCCCGGTGCTCGTTGGCCATCGTGCACATGGGGCGTTTCTTCTGAGTCATTTCGTCGTCGCGGTTCTTTAAGTCTCTTAGCAGGTTCGGGAACCAGGCCAACTCGCAGGAACAGATCAGCGGATTGTCTGCGGGAAATGCAAGGGGAAAAAAAAGGAGTTTTAAATCAATCCATAGTTGATTTATCTTTCGTAAATGTGCGGTCTATCATAAATAACATGTATCGTTTAATTTTTGGGAGAATACTTTCGTTATCGACATCGAAGAGCATGGTCAGTGCGAACCTCAGCGGCTCAACCCGAGGCAAACGATTAAACTGAAGTTTATCAGAAATAAGCAGACTCAATCTTGGAACCTGATCCATGTTGGAACTGACTAATAAACGATTTCGCTGTAAGTTATCCCCTTAGAAAATCCTAAACATACTATAAAATTCACATTAGTAATAAGCGATTAAAAGTTTCTAGTTTAAATTCAGCAGGGCATCTAACGTTATTTTATAAAACTTGCCACAATCACAAAGCATTCATCATAATTTGCCACAAACAGTCGGGATCCGACAGCCATACCTAGTTCCTGAAAGTTATTTCACCTCCATTGCAAAACAAACTTGCTAACGCTGTTCGCTGGGTTGCCATTTTGTCTGCTCACTTAACCGGGGAAAGCATTCGTCTTACTCAAGCAATGGAAAAGTTTTGATTACGTGACATTCACCACACAATTCCACCGCCGCAATCGGGAAGGGCCAAGGGCAAGCAGAGACTTCCATTTTGTATCGTTACAACTTTGCCGGAACTTGTCTCTCCACCACCAGCAACCAGCGTGACGACTAGCGACCGTGAAGGTCGTCAATATTGTTATTCCCGCAATGCATACCAAACAGAATCCAGATCATCGCAAATAAGCATCCAAACGAGCTTAATGATTCGTCGGTCATAATTTTCGATTCGATTCGAAAAGTTACTTTATTTCCACCTACACAGCCGATGAATCTGACCCATATTTGAAATCCGTTTACGCAAATTTGCAGAAATTTTGAACACTCTGAGCAACTGTCACTCATATATAAGCAAATGATACTTATACCCCGTTCACATTACAGCCTATATCACGTAATATAGGCTGTCTTGCAATGAGCACTCATACATAGGATTTCCAGTGAAAAGACAGCGTATATCACGTGATATACGCTGTAATGTGAACGGGGTATTAAATGTGAGTGACATTTACTCATATTTGAGTAAAATTTTACTCAGTCCATGAGTGACCTACACACTAAAAACGAGTTACCTTATATTATAAAGAAAGTAACCGAGGTTGGGGAAAACCAATGCACATGGGGGCGACCCCGGCGTAGTGGTTAGCATCCATACCTCTCACGCCAAAGTCACGAGTTCATATCTCACCCCCGGACAAGCCACGAATGACCCAAGAGCGTTAAAGTGACTATAATAAAAAAAAAAACAATGCACATACACTGATGCTAAAGCTTAAATTTTCGCTCCACAGTGCTCAAACAGTTCCAAATGTGGTAGTGATTAGCCTTTCAAAATGTGTGCACATTTAGTAAGAAACTGACTTGGCACCAGAGATGCCAGATTTACAGACATGTCTGTGAATTTACAGACTTTAATTTTTTTCACTGACATTTTTTTCGTTACAGACATTTACAGACTTTTTAGTTTTTTCACAGATAGGGTAGAGAACTACTTCGGCATAATCACTCATTTTAGGCCTATAGGGCAGAAAACTTCAAATAAATCCATGATTTTAGAGTTAACAAGTCAATTATGCGTTTGGTACGATACTTTTGTTAATAAGCTACCGAACGAAGTCAATAAGAACGCGTGGTATGAAGGTTTGCACCCATTATTCCCAAAAACAAAAGAAGTGCTCCGACCGAATCAATTTTTATCTTCGTCCGATAGGCCGAAGTGAATTCATTGGCGTTTCAATGCGTTTCAATGCGTTAGGTCGAGTTTAGAATTCGTAGGCCGAGTTTGGCGTCAAGAAGCAGTGTTAGACTTTTGACAATATCTCAACGATTGGTTTCTTTTTATCAAATCTTACGGTAAAGGGTGAACACGAAATTATTGCGACACCGAAAATGTCATGCCAATTTTCTTATAATGTTTAGAATCAAACCAAAATTTTAGGGTAGTTTTATACATATATTTACTTCAAAAATCAAAAGAAAAGTTAATCGATGGAGCCTTGAGTGTAAAATTGAACGCATTTTCGCTTGATGCCCTCCATCAAAGTCTTTACAGTGTCATCCGGTACCAGTTTCTCAGTTTTTTTTTTTTTCATTTTCTTAACATGTCCTTCTCGTCTTTGACTGTCTTCTTGCTCTTCCGAAGTTCCCGCTTCATTATTGCCCAGTACTGCTCCACCGGGCGCAGCTCCGGACAGTTTGGTGGATTCATGTCCTTTGGAACAAAATGGACAGAATTGGCCTCATACCACTCCAGGACACTTTTAGAATAGTGGCATGATGCCAAATCTGGCCAAAGTAGCGGAGCTTCGTCGTGCTGCTGCAAGAACGGCAAAAGGCGCTTCTCGAGGCACTCAGATTTGTAGATCTCGCCATTTACTGTGCCCTTTGTCACGAAAGGCTCACTCCTCAGTCCGCAAGAGCAGATGGCCTGCCAAATGAGATATTTGGAGGTGAACTTCGACATTTTCTTCTTTTTAAATTTGTCGTCCACATCGAACTTGCTCTTGCCGGTGAAAAACTCCAACCCCGGGATTTGCTTAAAATCGGCTTTTATATACGTTTCGTCGTCCATCACACAGCAGCCATATTTTGTCAGCATCTTCTCGTAGAGCTTCCGTGTTTTAGCCGTCGATTGTTGCCGCTCATCGCGGTTTGGGAAGTTCTGTACCTTGTATGTATGTAGTCCAGCTCTCTTCTTTGCATTCTGGACGTAGCTCTGCGATATGCCGATCTTTTTAGCCAAATCACGGCTTGAGACGTTGGGATTTGCTTTAATCATCCGCTTCACCTTTCCCTCCATCTTTTTGTTCTCCGGTCCCGGTTTTCTTCCAGCTCCTTTGCCGTGGTCCAACGTCAATCGCTCCTGGAACCGCTTCAACACTCTGGAGACGGTTGAATGGTGAATGTTCAACATTTTTCCCAACTGCCGGTGCGACAGGTCAGGAAATTCCAGGTGTTTGGAAAGAATTTGTTCTCTCAACTCGCGTTGGTTCACCTCCATTTTCATTGAATCGAAAAACACGACTTCGAGTTTGACAGCATGTACACAATACACATCAATGAGAAAGTGTGCAAATTTGGTTGATTTTTACCCAATGGTAAAAAAGTTATGCCCTGTTGAATGTGTCGCAATAATTTCGTGTTCGCCCTTTACGTACGGAAAGGCAAATAAATTTGGAAGCGATCAGTAATAATATCATTCCGTTTGGTGCTAAACTGCGCTAGATTAAGAAAGAGTAAGTGTGCTTATTAGGCCGGAAATGGGGTAGTTAACCCTATGTACAGACTTTTGTAATCAAGTGAGAATTTCAAAATTTGTTTGGTTACACTGTTTTACTTCTTTAATCAAATTACACGTGCGATGCATTCAAATCGTATTCATACTATTTGACGGTTTGTTTGGATACGTCAACTCACGTTGGCCGGTCTACAACTTGACTGTTTTTAGTCACTGTCTCCTAAAAAGTGAATGAAACCAAGGCGGACGAAAATCCTAGATTTATTCAAATTTTGCCAAAAATTACTTTATAGTTTGATTTATTGATTTATAGTCGGAGAAATCCATTTTATCGAATTTATCCGACATAATCGTGCTTAAATCTTTAAAAACAAATAATATCGATTTTAACCATCACATCTCTCATATCTCATCTCTCATATCGGGTCACATGCCAGATTATTTTTTTCAGTATCGGTAGCTTTTCAAAACTTTTATCGGTAGTTATCGGTAGGCCGTTTTAAGAAGGCTTCCTGAAACTTAAAACCTTTGTGAGCGGGGGAAGGATGAAAACAAATCACGCGCAATTTTGAACTTTCGAACCGAGTCATCAGTCCTTCACACATTGGATAGTCTAATCTAGAGTCGGTGTGTAATGAGTCACGCCAAGAGTGAAGCCAAGTCTACCTATTGAACTGTCAAACCGGACACCTATCTTGCAAAGTAAACAAACATTACGATGCTGTGAAGGGTCCACGAAAGGTATTGCAATAAAATATAAGATATAATTGAAGAAATGATCATACATAAACACGCAGTGAGCATTAAATTGTCATGGGATACATTTGGTAATGAGAATTTCTACTATTTTTTGTTAGAAGTACAGAGTGAAAAAATCACAGATATGATGATTTACAGCTTCTTGCTAGAAGTCATTCGAAGTTGATGTAGAAGTCCTCTGTTGCCAAGTGAAAAGAAAGGTAATCTTTCGAAAACCGTGATGCGAGTTCAACTGTTTTTTTCTTGGCGTGACTCATTATACACCGACTCTAGTCTAATCATAACAAGTAAGTGTTAGAAGGACGAACGGAATACGGAACCTAAAAGGGAGAAACAGAAAATAGCATATCCGCTAGGAGACAGACAGAGAAAGTCGATTAAACGTTAAAAAAAACTCATCCGATTGGATTGAATTGCAAAAAGCATCGCGTTCGATCAAATTTACTGACTACACGAAAAACAAAACATAGGTAATGAACATTTTTCAAGATAACTTAAAATCTGTGATTCTCGGTAGGAAAAGTGAAAAATCGGTAGTTTTGAACCTTTCGTCTGTGAATTGGTAGGCATCCCGAAAATCGGTAGGACTACCAACAATTCAAAAAGGCGGATCAGCTTTTGTAATCAAATCTTATAATGCTCTTTTCTCGCAATTCGAAGCTCGTCTTGCCAAATCAACAACACCGTCGGCTAGGGAAAATTCAATCCTATCCGATGGTGGAATTGGTTTGCATAGGCGTACTTCAGTTTGCATGATAAGGTCATTACAAGTTTACTGATTCACCCTTTAGTATTGTTGGTTGATAAATCTGTTCAAAAATCATTTATTGTGATTTTTTGAAGAGTCCACAAATTGCCTGATAATGGCTGAGATACCCTTCAAGTGTTCTAGAGCACAAATTTCGGACACAGTT